CAGGCGACCCCCCCCCAGCCTCCAGCGCACAGCGAGCAGGTGTTGGAAAGGGACGGGACGCCGGGGTGGGGGCCAGGCCATGCTGACACTGTCCCCTCCGCAGGCCGCCTCCTGGACGCCACACACGTCTACCAGTACGTGTTCATCCTGGCTGGGGCTGAGGTGCTGGCCGCCTCCCTGGTGCTGCTGCTCGGAAACTTCTTCTGCATCAGGAGGCCTGCGGGGGCCACCAAGGAGGGCGAGAGCCCCAAGCCCCCTGCAGACGACAGGGACAACAGGGGCGGGGTGGACTCAAGGGAGGTGGAGCACTTCCTGAAGGCGGAGCCTGAGAAGAAAGGGGAGGTGGCTCACACCCCGGAAACCAGCGTCTGAGCTCAGAGCAGGGGGCGCAGGGAACCGGACGGAGGCTGTCAAGGTTCATATTTATTTCACAAACAGGACTATCTCAGGTTGGGGGCCCCCAGCAGGGGATCGTCACCTGACCAGTTTCTCGGGGGAGGTGGCGGGTGGGAACCGTGTCATTCCAAAGCAGATCTGTGGTGAAGCCAAGCCCCAGGTTACAAGCTGTCAGCACCCGCACCCGGCCTGCTGACCCCAGGAGAGCCCGGTGCCCACAGCTGGGCTCAAGGACCGAGAAGCCCACCCTTCGGAGACTTTAATCAGAGGGTGGGGCCAGGCCCGCCCTCCCTGACTGCACCCACCATGCCCTTAGCCACCCTGAGTATCTGGGGACAGCTCCCTTCTGCTCCCCTGGAAGTCTGGAATAAACCTGCGTGTAGGAGGAGCGGAGTTTGGCTTGAGGTGTGGGCGTGGTCTACCGCTCCCCCCAAATCTCACTTTCTCAACAAACAACAAAATGAGCCTGGGCCCCAAGGGCTGCTGGTCGAGGGCCCTGCGCCGGCACCTGGGAGGCCCTAGGTGTGACCACTGGATCCTGCCTGTTGTGTACTCACCCCTCAGGTGGCTGCCTGGCCCTATACAGTCAGCACCCGGGGTCCTATCTGCTCCCCATCCAGCCCTGCGAGCCTTGCCCAGGTCCCTCACACCCACCTGCCCTCATGGCCAGTGCGCCTGCGTGGCTGGGAACCCGATCGGAGGCCGCTGGGGCCGCCTCAGTAGGTGGTGCGTCGAGGGCGCTGGGGCCGGCAGCGGGTGCCCTGGCGGGCCGAGTGCAGCCGGAGAGACGCCACGTCTCTGCTCCTCTGCAACGAAAAGCAAGCGAGGGCTCACCTCTGGGCGCGGTCACCAGGACAGGACGCCGCCCGGGAGCTCGGCGCCGCAGCCAGGCACCCCCCGCAGCCCGCAGCCCCGGGCCCTGCCGGGCAGCACCCTTTCTGCTTCCCCTCAGCTGGCACTCCCAGGTCCAGGCGCAGCCCTACCTCTATGACCCCTCGTGTAAGGTGGGCCAGTTGGGCCCTGGGCAAAGCTTGTCAGGTCTGGAAGGGCCAGCCCCACGGCCTGTGGTTTAGCAGCCGCCCGCCCTCTGGGCTGTGCACCCCACTCCCTTCTCCCGCGGGGGCTCGGCCTGCCTACTGCCACAGGATTTCCCCGTGGCTCACTGATCAGGACTGAGCGCCCCCATGGACTTCCACCTCCCTCTCGTCCTGAGCTGCCTCACCCCTGCTGGCCAGGAGCAGAAGTAGCCATACCCACCCCTGGAGTCATGCCCTGGGGACACTAAGAAGGACCCTGAGGTGCTCGGCACATCTGGAAGGCACGGCTGGGCCGGGTCCATGTGCCCTGCCAGCCGTGTTCCCGAGAACGGGCCGGTGCCAAGTGCAGCAGCCCCGTCCCAGCCCATCCGCCTGCTCCCCAGGCTCACGGGGGCCCAGGCTCAGAAAGTGACCTACACACGGAAAACTCACGCTGACGAAATAAAGACCACATGCTGGGGACGGGAAGAAAGGTAGACGTCATATATTTATTATTTACATGGTGTGGTAAGTACACAAATACAGTGGTCACACAAATGCACAGGTCAGACACCACCCACACGGGCTGCAGACACTGGCTCGTGTGGGGGCGATGGATGCGACACTGTCCGCGGCCAGTGGGAGGGCTTGGGTGGGGTGCCGCGGCTCACACTTCCGGAGGGAAGCCCCCTGCCCTGACTCGCCCTCCCCGGTTACGTCCCCCCCCAGCGCCAGCAGGGCGGCCAGCTGTGCGTCGGTGTGCCCACCCACGCCGGGCATCCCAGGACCGGCGCCCTGTGCTGTGGGACTTGAGGCAGGAGGGACCTGGACCTGTACACCTTTAAAGGCTAATAGCGTCCTACGAGCTCCCCCGTTTCCCACACCTCTGCAGGGGGGACAGGGAGTGCAAGTACCTACGAATGTTTGCGTTGGACCCCATTCCGAGACGGGGCTCCTGTCTACTCTGCCACCGCCTGGGGCCTTGAAAAGGGGCCACGGGGAGCCCGGCCCCCCGAGTGTCTTTCTGGTGAGAATGAGGCTGGCCCTGCCTGCTTCCGTCCTCTGGGCTCAGAAAGCAGGACACACCCTCCTGGGCCTCAGTCACGGATCACTTGCTTCTGGGCACTTGAGAGGGGCTCCCTTGGCCGGCCTCTTTCTGGGCAAACCTGCACCCCAGGTGGACAGATGTGGAGCACACAGATGTTAGCACACGTTGAGGGCCACTCTGCACTGCTAATATGTACAGTCTGTCTAGAAAATGCCCCCAAATCCGAAGGCATTGAGGCAACAACCACCAGCAAAGTAACCGCACACAACCCAGGAGGGCCCGGCCCAGCCTCCGCCTCCGAGTCTTGGGCACTGGGTCCCAGGCACCTGGCGTCCGCTGCCACCTGGGAAGGTGGGATCGGTGCTCGGCTCGGCCAGAAGCACCGTGACGCCCTTGCTCTCTAATGGCTCTGACGACTCGGGTCCTGGCGGCTCAGTTACGGTGGGAGGGAGTGATGGCCAAAACCAGGAGAGGTCACAGACACAGCACACAACACACGCACAGACATGTTACACACGTGTACACGTGACAATTTCGGGAGAACACCCCCTACTGTGGACTACGCCAAACAGAAGCAGGAAACATCGCTGGCAGCAGGGTGCCCGCGCCCACCTTGGTCTACAGAGCTCCACGCCGGTGTCTGAGGCGGGACACTTTGAGGTCAGCTTTTTTAAGACCGCAGAAACAGACAAGAACAATAAAAAGATTTCTTTACACAGATTTAAGCCAGTAATTTTTAGCAAAATGATACAAAACTGTCAGAACCAAGTAGAAGATGGTGGTTACAGCAGACTCATCAGGGGTCGCGGGCGCCACCGCGGCAGGGAGGACCGAAAGGCTCTGCATCGGGAGTCTGTTGTCTCAAGTGTCTCGCACTCACGCGGCCGTCTTCCCAGCCCCGGGACCATATCCACGTGGGCCTCAGTGGAGCCCGGCGGTGGCAGCACTTGGAGTCTGTCCGGTTTAGTCTGTTTGGTTCCCCCACGGGCGTCGCTGGGTGGGTGGCCTGGAGAGCGCCCGGTGTCCTAGCCCGGGGAGCGTCACTAGTAAAGCCATGTAACAGAGGAGATCAGCCATGCATTGTCTGCCCTTCACAGCAAAAAGGAGTTCTCATCGGTGCACGACAGACTGAAGACCACTGGAAGCCACCCGACCGGGAATCTGTCGGAGCCAAAGCACAGGACAAGGTCAGCGTGCGGCCGGAGGCGGGGCCGGGCGGTCAGTGAGGTGCCCGGGAGGAAGGGGACAGACGCCGCCTCGCCCACTCCGGACGCCCGTGCCCCCGGCGGCTCCAGGAGCTCCCTCTGCGGCCAGGACGTGCTCAGCAGAACAGCGACAGGAGACGGAAGAGGAAGAGGCATGCAGGCGCCGAGAAGCTCGTCAACGACAGGACAGAGTCCAAGCGGGAGAGACACTGGCTCCCAGCCATCCCCCCAGTAGCCTGGGGGCCAGGCCCCATGGGCACTGGGGTCCCCCTCCAGGGGGAGGTACGAGCAGTTCCCATCGAGATGGTTCCTAGAGCACCGCAATGTTAAAGCCCCAGCAGGTCCACGTGGCCCGGCCGCCAGCCCCCATCCAGGGAAGGAGCCGCCCAGCGTGGCCCAGACGGAGCCCAGCCCGGGCGCCCAGCCATGCACGTCGCAGGGAGCAGCGCTGGGCGACGGGTTAGTACACACAGCAGCAGAGACCAGGTTCGAAAAGGAAAATAAAACGAGGAAGACAGAAACGCACGTGGAAGGAAGCCAGGACTGCGGAGACCACAGGAGTCTCGCACAGCAAGAGCACAAGAGGCCCCGCCAAGCGCGGCCCCTCAGCTGAGCACGGCTGACTCGGTCCGACAACCGACCCTGGACCCAGCGGCTGGAGTGTCCCAGGGCCACTGGAGCCAGCACATCCACCTACAGAGCCCGGGTCCGGCTCCCCACACAGCGGCAGGTCCTGGGCTCACCCATTCAGGAGCCCCTGCAGCCTGCTCGCTCCTCACCCCCGCGACTGGCTCTGACCACAGTTCTGGAATCCATGAGGGAAAGCACTGGGCAGAGGGACCTCACTCTGCAGCACCTGGCATGCAAGACCAAGCCCACCTGTGTGCTCCCCGTGGGCGAGGGGCCAGCCCGCCCGCCCTGGTGCCTGCTGTTGGAGAGACCGGCCATGAGCACACTCACCCAGTGCTGCCTTCCACCGGGAGACGTGCAGCTACTTGCCGTGGTGTTCGAAAGGAATGCTATTCTGAGGGGGGGGAAAAGACAGCTGTTGGTCAGGGAGCCAGCGGGCCCTCAGGGGGCGCCTTTCTGAGAAGCGTGGCCTCGCCTCCACCAGCACGAACCGCCCAGGAGCTCAGCCTCACCTGCCCCCCAACAAGAGCAGACAGTGGCTCCTCCAGGATGACCTGCACTAAGGCCGACAGGGGCTGGGGGCAGCGAGAATGACACACAGCTGCCGGCCTGTCACTGCTCGGAGCGGCCTGGGCCTCCCTACCACACACGTCCGCACACACCTCCTCGCTGACACGGCGAGCAGGGACCTCCCTGGGTGGCGGGATGTGGACTAACACTGCCGCACAGCACAGGGCCCGGAACCAGCGCTGCCCACCAGCACTGCTGGCTCCAGAGAACGCCAAGCACAAGCTCCTCCACCAGACGCCCTGCCCTGCAGGCTCCGTGAGCCACTTGCATTCCAGGGACAGGGGTGCAGGGCCGGCCCCAGGGGCTGGTCTAGCACGACTGCCCGTGAGAAGGAAGTGGGTGCGAGGACTGGCCACTGCAGAGTGTGAGTGCAGGCTGGCCAGGGGTCAGGACGAGGGACACGGGTCGACGCCCACACCCAGCTGGAGAGGGGCAGCAGGTCTTGACCGGCGAGCTGACGACGGCACACCAGATGTGTCTCCTCCTGGAGGGCACAGAGATGCTGCCATGGAGGAGGCAGGCGGACACACGCATGGCTGCTTCTCCTTCACCCCCCTTTCTTTGGGGAACAAGTGTGGTTGGAGGCTATAACATCATGGAAGCCGGGACTCCACTCCCTCCATAACTTCCAAACCACCAGGGGAGATATGTGCAGCCCCGCCCTGAGTCTCATGCTGGCCCTCAGGGACCTTTCAGAGCTTCCTAAAGGAGCCGCCCACGGTGACCAGGAACAGGAGACAGACACGCCTGGGACGGGGCGTGTCCTCCACATGAAGATCCTGAGAAAACCTCTAGGGTGACCAGTGACAAAAGCGGAGGTGCTGCTATTGGAGGGGAAACACACCCCAACCAAATCTCTCAGAGACCCTCCCTACACACAGGCCCACCTTCTATTCCCCCAGATGGAGACAGAACAGGAGCGCA